GGACTCACTTGGTAGTCCAGGCTGGCCTCGAACTCACAGAGATCCACCTGGCTCTGCCTCCCGCGTGCTGGGATTAAAGGCGTGCGCCACCACCGCCCGGCTCACGTTGTATTTTTTAACCCCTCCTAGGTTTTGTGTTTGCCTCCTCATGCCCCTACCCCAAATAGTTCCGATAACTAGACTGGACTATTTTCACACACACACTTCCCTACCGGTGGACTTTTTCAAACAAATCCCAACCAATAAAGGAGCATTTTGTCAAAAAGCCAGAAAATTCCCTTTTGAACACCTCTCCCCAAAACCACTGATAGAGGCCAAAATATACACAGCTGTACATTTACGAACAAGCAGCAATAAAAAGGCAAAATCACTTAAAAGCCACTAAAGGAGGCTCTGGGCTACAGATTCAATAATTTCCCTACATCATCTGCCAAGCAGGCTGACTGCATGCTTTTGGGCAATTATTTAATTATTCACTAATCTGATCAAAAGAAAAGCAGAAAATAAGGTAAATTCCAATAGGATGAAAGTTCTTAAGTACGCTAAGTGCAGGATTTCCTCTAAGCTTTGCTTGGCATACGAAATCCGGTGTTGATCACATTTGGGAACACAAGAGGGAAAAAAAATTACATCCTAGAGTTTGTTTTGCACACATAAAACCAAAGGAAAACACTTGAAAAATAAAATCTAATACGGCACACATACATATACTTTACATATACACAAAGAATAAATCCATACGAAGTGGTTTGCTTAACATACACACACACACACACACACACACACATCCTCATGAAATTGTGTGTGTAAGACACACCGTCAGAGGGCTTTCCCTTCTCTCCAGGGAAATGAGTGTCCCAATTACAATATCGCAGTATACTTAATCTATTGGCCTGGCACAGTTGCCATATCCACACCAATTGGTTTTGGCTCTGAGGGAGTGTGTGTAAAACGCTTGCCAAACGGCTTTGTGAGGGCGCCTCGGTCTCTCTGCTGCCTGTGGTAGAAATTTACATCATCCCTTTAGCCCGATTAAAAACAAATCTATACTTCCCCAAGCGACTAAAATTTAAAATCCTTCAAGCACAAAATTTACCGGTTCTTAAAATGTGATAGCAAAAAGAAAAAAAAGAATCTCTGCAAATTTGTCTGGAAACAGTGGCACACGACTATCCTGCTTCTCAACTTGGTATATTTTTAAACCTTGACCAGGAAGAAGAAAGAGAAAGAGAGACAGAAAAAGAAATGGGGGGAAAGAGAAAATTCCCCTTAGCAACAGTTTCCTCACCCCAGCACTGCCACAGATCTCTATTTTAAAAAAAAAAAAATCTGAAAACGCACACAAGATGAAGGAGGGGAAAAAAAAAATGGAAAAAGGATACCCGAAGGTCGTATGGCTCTTTGTATTCGTGTGTGTGCAAAAAAGGAGGACTCGCGGAGCCGGAGCTCGCAAGCCCCGCCCCTTCCCGGACGCCCGCCCGGATTGGCCGGCGGCCGCCCCGCCCGCAAGCACACGCGCCGCGCCCGAGGCGTCCGCCCGGGGGGCCCCCGAGGGCCGCAGGCTGGCGGACCTGGCCGCGCTGCCCGGTGGCTTTGCCTCCCTCGCCCTGCGCTCACCCTTCGTGTCTCGCTTCTTCCCTGTAAAACCAGACCCAGAAGAAGAACCCTATGAGCGAGCGCCTTCTGACTTGGCCACACTCGGCCAACTAGCTCGGTACCCGGGACTGTCTAGACGGGGCCCCAGCCCTTGCTTTCCCAGGGCAGTGTCCCTGGGTCGCACATGTTGCCCAGCAGCCCACCTCTGCATGAACATTTCTGAGGGTAGCACTGTCCCAGGGAAAGGCAAAGCGGCCGCACGCGGGGCCCTACACCTTGGGGCTTGTTTTTGCACAGCCGGAGCTAGGTTCCCCTACTGGGCTAAAACCGTATTCTGAAGGAACCAAAAATGTCTCCCTGCCTGTAGGCTGTTGCTGAAACCTGGATTTTAAGCAGCCCATAAACTGGTCTCACCGCACCTACTTGTTCTAAAGCGCGCGCGCACGCGCGCACACACATACACACACACACACGCACACACGCACACGTAAAATACGTACATATTCATGTGTGAGGGCGCTCGCGTGCCGTAGCGCACGTGTGGCGGTAAGGGGACAGTTTGCAGGAGTCGGTTCTCTCCTTTCCACCTTGTGGGTCTAGAGGATAAAAGCCAAGTCCGCAGGTTTGGCGGCCTTCACGGACTGAGTGATGCCCCCCTGGGCACTAAATTCTTTTTTTTTTTTTTTTTTTTTTTTTGAGACAGGGTTTCTGTGTAGCCTTGGCTGTCCTGGAACTTGCTTTGTGGACCAAACTGGCCTCGAACTTAGAAGTCCGCCTGCCTCTGCCATTCCCCACCCCACCCCCACCCCCACCCCCGCCCCCACCCTGTCCCCTGTCCCCACAAGGGCTGGGATTAAAGGTGTGTGCTACCACACCAGGCATCCCCTCGATCTTGATCCCCAAGGATAAATCAAGTCCTACTTATACCTATTTATGTTCTTTAGTATCTGAAACCCACGACCTTTCTCAGTCTTCCTGGGACTTCCTGGCTTCCCCACCTCACTTGAGCCCCTGACCTGTGACTTTATGTAAGAAAATGGGGAGCTAGGTATGGTGGCTCAGTCCTGTAATCCCAGCACTTGGGAGAATGAGATGGAATTATTGTCGCCTGTTTGAGGCCAATCTGGACTACATACTGAATGGTAGATCAGCCTGGCTACCTAGCTATGGTGTAAGCGTGTAAGATTCTGTCTCAAGAGAGAGAAGGAGGGCTGGAGAGATGGCTCATTGGTTAAGAGTAGAGGCTGCTCTTCCAGAGCACCCGGGGTTGATCCCCAGCACCCATATTGCAGATCACAACCACCTGTAACTCCAGTTCCAGGGGATCCAACACCTTCTAGCATTTGTGGACATCAAGCATACACACATGGTGCACAGACATACATGCAGGCAAAACAATCAAACACATAAAAAGTAAAAATGTAGCGGGGCAGTGGTGGTGGTGGTGGCGGCGGCGGCGGCGGCGGCGGCGGCGGCGGCGGCGGCTTTAATCCCAGCACTCGGGAGGCAGAGGCAGGCAGATCTCTGAGTTTGAGGCCAGCCTGGTCTACAAGTGAGTTCTAGGAAATGTTCCTAAACTACACAGAGAAACCTTGTCTCAAAACAACAACAACAACAACAAAGTAAAAATACGGGGGCTGGAGGGATGGTTCATTGGTTGATAGCACTGACTGTTCTTCCAGAGGATCTGGGTTCAATTCCCAGCACCCACATGGTAGCTCACAACTGTAACTTCAGTTCTAGGGGACCCAACACCCCCACACAGGCATACATGCTGGCAAAACACCATTGCACATAAAATAAAATTAAAATTATTAAAAGATAAAAAGAAAAGAAAAAAGGGATTAGCTATGTGTGTGCTATGTGTGGCCAAGAGATACTCAGGCATGAGGAGAGAAGACATTTTAGCATACAAATAAACTGTTCAAAAGTATAGAATTTGGGGCAGGCAGATAGCACATGATTTAAATCCCAGCACTCAGGCAGCAGAGGCAGGTGGATCTCTGTGAATTCAAGGTCAGGCTGGTCTACATGGGGAGTTCCAGGACAGCCAGGGCTGTTACACAGAGAAACCCTGTCTCAGAACAAACAAACAAACAAAACAAAAACAAAAAGAAAGAAAGGGGACCGCAAACCTACAAACCTTTCCAACTTGGAACAAGCGGTGTTGCCATAGCTTCTGGCAGAGTGTTAAGTCACTGTGACAGGACAGGGGCAGCACACACAGAGGCATGTGTCATCGTGTGAGGCTGGAGAATGTGTCTGTCTCCAGGGCAGCATGTTTCACAGTGCATTAGCTTCCAGTCTCTGTGGCTGTCCTCAGTCTTCTTGCCCCTCCCTCCCCTAAAGCCTGGTCTAGCTCTGCCTGTCAGTGTCTCTCTGCATCCTTCTCTGCCACATCCACGTTACTCTGTTACTCCCCGGTCCCGATCTCTGATGTGTCCCCAGGTCTTTCCAGCTTCCTTTTCACCCTCCATTATTTCCTCTGTGACAGCAGCTTTCTGGGTCCCTCACAGCGAGTGGTAACCTCCTCTGGTTAAAATCCACAAGCAAGGTTTATTGATTGTTTTTTATTTACATTTTGTGACGCGGGGCTGAGAAAATAGACCGCTCCATAAAAAGCTTGCTGCTTAAGCAAGAGGACCCGAGTTCCATCCTGGGCATCCATCCACAAAGCTGGCCATGGCCTTGCATGTGTAACCCCAGCCTGGTGGAGGTGGCAGATCCTGAGGCTTGCCGGCCAGCCCCAGCAAACTATTCTGTGAGGTTCTAGAGGGAGATCCAGTCTCTTTTTTTTTTTTTTTTTTTTGGTTTTTCGAGACAGGGTTTCTCTGTGTAGCTTTGCGCCTTTCCTGGGACTCACTTGGTAGCCCAGGCTGGCCTCGAACTCACAGAGATCCGCCTGGCTCTGCCTCCCGAGTGCTGGGATTAAAGGCGTGCGCCACCACCGCCCGGCGAGATCCAGTCTCAAAAAAGCAAGGTGGCCAGCTCTGAGGGATGGCTGCTGAAGCTGGTCTCTGGCCTTCAAATGTGTATCCACACCCTGCACAGGCACATGGGCTCACACACACTGAACAATCGGACACACAGACACATTCTGTGGACTTAACTATTTTTTATTGTTTTTTTTTCTCATGCTAAGTAAGCACACATTCTCCAACTCAGCTACACCCGCCCCCCCCCCAACTCCCCAGAATGGATTTTTTTTTTTCAGTTGGGGGTAGAGATGGTGTGGAGAGATGGCTCAGCAGGTAAAGGCACCTGTCCCTAAACCTGGAGACCCAAGTGCTATCCCCAGGGCCCAGACACTGAAGGAGCAACTCTCCACAGCTGTCCTCCAACTTCTACATGTGCTCTGCGGCTCATGAACCCAGACACACGAAGTCCTGCAAGGTGCCCTCTGACCTGA